ACAATCCAAAGGGAAAAGTCTAGCTACCATACAAAAAACAAAAAATCAACAGAAATATCTGGTCTTGCATTTTTGATGAAACTTGCGTCTCTCTCTCTCTCTCTCTCTCTCTCTCTATATATATATATATATATATATATATATATATATATATATATATATATATAAAAAGAAATATAGTCTTAAGGTATGCTATATTTATGGAATAAAGTGCTCAATATCAGAGATAGAGCGTGTAAGTGGCCTGACTATTGCATATAGCATGAAACAGACTGTCGCCTCTAAGTGTTGACTGTTATATATATATATATATATATATATATATATATATATATAAATATATATATATATATATATATATATATATACTCGCGCAAAATCAAACCTACTCAGAATCGACATTATTTACGAGTTCGGAGGCTCCTTATGTAACTGTCACCCTGTTGAAACCAAACTGATAAATAATTACATTGGTTGCTCTACTACATGCCTATCTAGACAAATAACGTTTTACATACCCGACCATAGCTCCATTAGAACACATTTAAAGTTATACAAAATCCTGCCAGACTCCATCTGAAATATACTGGTAGAATATAGAAGTATAATAGCCTCGTCCACATGTAAAAAAAAAAAAAAAGATTAAAAAAATGGAGTCCCTAATAATAAAAAAGGAAAAGGCAACACTCAATAATATTAACACCGCCACAATGTGCTGACCGTTTTCGGATAATAAAATACTCCTCTAACTTTAGACACATATTTAGTTAAAAAATAAAAATAAAAAATAAAAATCGCCCTTGATAACGACTAAGAATATAGTTTAAAGCTCTCTGATATGCAGAAGTTTACGACAGATTTTGTGTCCAGGAAAGAAAAAACTTGTACGAGCACAAGGAAAAAAAATAGCTTAATCGCAGTACCTCGTCTGTCGCCTTTAACGAAATGTGTATAAAAGAGGGATTGTTGCCTAATTACACTATATATATAGTTATACTATATGGGTTAAATTGTTCAATGTCAGGGATAGAGCGCATATAAATATAAAAGTAGGCATTGAATTCAACACCTAGAGACGACAGTCTGTTTCATGCTAATCGATATTGATATAGTGTGTATGTCACCACGAAATGCATCTTTAATGTATTAGACATCCGACAACATTCATATTTCTCTCACTTAAACCGTCTTCCACTCACCTCTCTAAAACTTCTCCCTGTTAAGGTTTAATCTCCCACCTTCTCTCGTCTGTTATCCCTCTCTTTAGCTCTAACATTCGTCCCACACTCTCATACTTACACTCTCTCTAAATTCTATTTTTATTTCCGGAGTTGTTTTTTCTGTTTTCTTTTTGAATTTGTAGGTCTGATGAATTGGATCGTATTTACGATTCCAATGGAATAAATTATGACCATGGAATATTAGTGTTTAAGCCTTTTTTATTATATGTATATATATATATATATATATATATATATATATATATATATATATATATATATGTGTGTGTGTGTGTGTGTGTGTGATAACTCATATATTTCATAACTCGTTGCATGCTCTTAACTAGCCTTGTCAGATAGAAACTTTCCTCTGGATGAAATGCTTGGCGCCAAACCTGTTCAGAACATCTAAACTATCTGCTTTATGCAAATGATTTCTTAGATTAATGGTTTAAAATGGATTTGAGTGAATGAAATTTCAGCGAAGACCATTATTCGTCGAATCTTGTGGACTGGCGCTACATAATCATTAAACAAAATCTGTACCAAATAACAGAAACCACATAAAATTACGTCTTTCAACAGCAGCAACTACAATGGATATCACATGTAAGTGGAAGAGAGACATAATCCAGATGTTGTCATTCCACACAACATTAAATAAATGGTTAGGAAAAAAAACCCATCAATACTGGAAAAAGCGGTTACCACAACTGGACTTTATAAATCTATTATCTGGAAAAAATGTTTTTAGAGAAAGCAATTATATAAATTTCAGACGACAGTTGCACTGGCTGCTCGAATAATGCCAAAGGTTTCCTTATATGGAGAACTTCTTTTGGTTTATAAATTAGCAAACTCGTATCGCCATATCAATTACTAGTGTAGTGAGTTCGATCCTCACTGGTTGCTCCGTATTTTCGGACTTGTGTTAAATCTAAGCTTCGCTGAGAAAGAAAAGACATTTTGACGTGGTGTAATGCTTAGCAAGCTTATCTCCCTAGATCAATTACGACTCAGTAGTGAGTTAAGAGACTTGAAGCAACGGAATTGTAGTTCTACAGAAAGATGCTGAGGACACTGTGAGGCCGACCATGTAAGCAACGATGAGGTTATGCTTAAGTATAAGTTCCATCAGGAAGAGGCAGTTGAAATTTCTGGGTCAAGTAAAGAAGAAGAAGAGCTTGGAAAATTTGATTTTGAATTGAGTTGTTTGTCATACTGGTTATATTTTCATATGTTGATGCATTCTGAGAACTCTCAACTATCCTTCTTGCGTCCGGGTATGATATGTTTTTTTGTGTGTTTAATTGAGGATATTTTTTTTCTTTCTTCCAGACTTCACATTTTTTTTAGTCTGCTGCATGATTTTGTTTGCAGTTTGAACATTTTAATGGGAGTTTGCAGTCAATGTGATCCTCGATTTCTCCACAATCTTTACATGTTGGTGATCTGCTACATCTTTCCTTGTGGTGGCCGAACTTTTGGCAGTTGTGGCATCTCAGAGGATTTGATATGTATACTTCCACTTTTTCTATCATATATCCGATTTTTATTTCTGTAGGAGGATTTGGAGTGTTGAAATTTAGAATATAAGTGTTTGTTGGAGTCGTTTGCTTGTTTTTTTTATCAATATTCTTTGATCATCTGTGGCGCCTTGTTGCTTTAGGTTGTTTTTTTATCTCATCCAGTGTGCATAGTGAGGGATCTGGGCTTCTTACCACACCCTTTGAGGAGTTCAAAGAAGTGTGGGGGGGTAGGCTTTTATCTTAAGCTTAGAAAAAAGTTTTTCTTCAGTAACATATTTGCTGAAGTTTTCTTTGGAACTTCTACTAAAATGGTGTTGATACTTAGTTTTTTTTTTTATTGATAAGGTTATTATTAAGGATTCCATTGTTTTTTTAACAATGAATGGAGAAAACTTAGTGATTGGGGTGTTTTCTATTGACTCTAAGACAATAAATCTAGGGAGCAGCTTTTGATCAAGTTCATTGTCAGACTCGGTTTCGGAGTACAGATTCTCTAAACTGTCTTCAATATGGGGTCTTTTATTTTTATTTGTTGCCATGAGTTTTATTTTTTTTTTAAATTCACATTCTATTGTGAGACCGGAAACTACCTACACAATAGACTCTTCCAGGCCTATATTAAGTAGGCGACATAGCACTCTAGAGAGTGACAGAGAGTGACACAGAGAGACAGTGAGAGCCGCGTACGACTACCAGTATTGGACACTAACATATAGTAAGCTCCGCTTACACTATCTCTGTAACCTGTTGTTAATATATCTTTCTTACATCTAATCCGTGTTCCGTGTTTTCATTCTGTGGTCCCAATTTTGACCCCACACCACATTCCTTGCTCCCCACCCTCCTAGGAGCCCATCAGTGGGAGATGTTAGAGGGGGAACCCATTCGCCCTATTATCCCAGGGATACAAGGATGGTATACTGGCACTAGTAAGTGGCTGTTAGCATTTCAGGTTTTACTTTGTTTTGCCGACCCGTTTTTGATGAAAAAGTCAGTTAAAATCCTTATCTGTCACGGCTTTTCCTTACTAGCAGATTGACCCTTGCCACCGCCTTCTAATACTTACATATAATCTATCTCTTGTTTGTAGTAAAGTGTCGGACAGATTTTGTTTAACATCTTATGGGTTTCAGATAGATGGGTTTTAATGCGGGTAAGTATTAGTGCTTGACGTGACTAGCCGATTGATAGGATCGGGCCTCTCCGACTGCCCGTCTAGCCCAGGTAATGGCCAAAGTGATGTGTTGCATGACCATGACCTCTTTGAACCCGGGTCATGGCCTTCTCAATCACCAGGTTCCCGTCCCCAGACCAACAGGTGGCCCCATTGAGGGACTTTTATCCTCTGCGGAGGTGCAGTCGACGTATTCTGAAGTCCCGCCAACAGGGCGGACTCACAAGACAGATTGAGAGAAAAGGGGACAGAGGAAGATAACGCTTAACATATTTGATGAACTTGAGTAAATGGTTGTTAGAACATGGTTTGGGAGAAATGAGAAAAAGACAAAACTTATTAAGAGTTACAAGGGACAGGAAAACGTGGAGGACCATGATCGCTTACGTGATGAAGTCACACAGCACATAAAAGAAGAATGAAGAAGTGAGTTCAATCCTTAAAGGGTACTCAATACTTTCGGCCTTTGTAAACCAATACTTTCGCTTAGTAAATCATTATATTACCGATACCATTATATCCGTCAACTAATCTGTCCATCTGTATCAATAGCGATGGTTATCAAACACGTTTTGAAAGCCATTGTTGTTGTATAGTTCTTTCGATCTTCATTTTCTGCTTTGTTTAAGTGACCTTGTGACAGTTTAAGTTAAGCCGAGTAAACCGAAGCAGAATAAGTAAACAGCAGATCGGGTGACACTGTGAAAACTTGGTTGGAAGCCGGGTTTTATGTACAAGACAAAGACAATGATCTGGTGCTGTCAAGACAAATGAATGGCAGTCAAGTTACATGAAATGCAATAGCATCAAATCTCGTCTTCGACGAGAAAACTTCGAGAATTGTAGAGAAAGGAGAAAAGGACTGACAAATAACCTGCGCTCGGCGCCCGATTCTCTGAGGACTGAGTCCGAAAAGACTTCGCGTCACAATTCATTCGCCTCTCTATGTTACAGTGTATTAACTGACCATGGGCACTACTGACCCGCCACCGCTGACCTGAGCCGTTTGCCTGTAATAGGCGAATGGCGTTTCTTATCAGTCTTTCGAAGAAATATTTATGACAGCCGAGCGCCGACATGCTCATTGTACGTTCTTCGTTGATATTATTTGTCCATCGCCCCTGCAACTTTCGCTTCCCGCCTGCGCATTCATTTCACGAAATCAATTTCTTTTTTTGTATGTCCTCTATTTCGCCATGTTTTTGCTATATACACGACTATATATATATATATATATATATATATATATATATATATATATATATGATCTTGTTTATTCGTTCAATCATTATTTATTTGCTATTTCCTGTAATTACATTTTATCACACATTTTCTTTCTTTCTGTTTCTTTCTTTCTTCCTTTGATTTTCTGTCGTCCATTTGCCCCACCTCTCCCTCTCTTAAGCTTTTGTTTCTTTGTTTATCTTTCTTTCTTTCTTCCTTTCTTTCTTTCTTTCTTTCTTTCTTTCTTTCTTTTACTCGCCCCCATTGTTTTCCTTTTTTCTTTTCAGTTCCTTCCTTTCTTTTTTACTTCACTCTGTCTCCCTTACTGTTTACTTTCTCTCTGTTTTCACACACACTCTCTCTCCCCACCTTTCTGTTGTCGACTATTTTTCTGTTTCATTATTTTCTTTCTTTCTTTCTTTCTTTCTTTCTTTCTTTCTTGCATCAATACACCTTTCTTTATCCCTTTCTTCCTTTCTTTCAATTCATCTTCATTTCTTACTTCATGCCTTCTTTCTTTCTTTCTTTCTTTCTTCAATCTACCATCTTTCCATCTATCTTTCTTTCTTCCCCACTTCTGTCTATCTTTCTTTCTTCCGTCTTTCTTTCTTCCTTCCATCCATCTTTCTTTCGTCTTTCCTTCAATCTATCTTTCTTTCCTTCCTTCCATCTTTCTTTCTTCAGTCCATCCATCCATCTTTCTTTTTTCATTCTTTCTTTCTTTCTTTCTTTCTTTCTTTCTTTCTTTCTTTCTTTCTTTCTTTCCGACTCATTTCATTACTAATGCACAAACTTATCATTTGCCATGTCAAAACTGTTTTGTTATGATTTGGCCGTGGGAGAATGCGTGCTTATAAAAGATTCTTAGAAACATCACAAAAGTAATTTGCCGAATCTTATTATATTAGATAACAGGGTTCATGAGAATCTTATCAAGTGACCAGACAACAACAACGAATTCCACTCTTCATTCGTCGACCATTTTTAGTTCCAAGTAGCTACATTCCTCTACAGAACAGTAATTCACAGAGCTGAAGGCCATCCGAACTAGTTGGTATCGACAAAAGTTAGACTGGCAGGCGAGGAGCCCTTCTGCGACCCTAAACATGGCTGTATGGTCTGTCAGGCTAATTTGAGTTGGACAGTACTGGGAATACGCAGAAGTTCGCAAAGGTCATCAACTTACGGTGAACGAATGGTGCGACGAATTGACGTGGAAGTTAAAAATCAGGAAGAAGAAAGAAAATAGTAAAAATGGAGAGTATAGTTAGGTGGTTATATTTATTCAGGCAATAAATGAAAGAAATTATCTTGTGACTCTTTTGTCCGAAGAGGGGAAGCCTAGCTGATCTCTGTAAACATAGCAACCATCGATGTCTACAGAGAATGATATCCACAAATAATCGCTGGTTAATGATAAGTAGCGTAAGTTCAATCCTAGACGGACGATTTTTTTAAAAATTCCGATTATGTAACTTTCTACTAAAGAAGAGAGTAAAATAAACACGTTGTTGATCAGCTACCATAAATATTTCTCCAGTTCAGACCTTTAAAGCTAAGACACGCCATGCTGTGTAAATAAGAGCGAATCGTCCTCATTACATTGGCAAGAAGGAAGTTACATTAGAAGAATTTCTTCCCAATTTTACTAAGAGCCATTGATTTGTGAAAAAGGATGCTTCCTCGACCACTACATTATTAACTTTTTTAATCTAAAATCAACAGTTATCTGTTCTACATATCCTCATAATCTACAATTCTTACGTTCAAAAAACAACACCGTTCAGTCACCCAATCCTCCGAGTGGATACTGGGCCTTGAATTGGGTGAAAAATAAGGGTAAAATAATAATAGCAATCTGTTTAAAACAAAGATCGTTCTGGATTCAAAATCAGGAGAGAAATCTACTGTTGCAGAATATGAAAACCAGGGACAGAATGTATCATGGCCGTGGTATTCTGACATTAATAGATTGCCTTTTGTCTGGGCTTTGCATATGAGTCCAAAACAGCGCGAATTCAAAAGAGGGCAGCAAGGATTCTGAAGGATCGATACGTTTCCCATACCAGGTTCGAGTAAGGCCACACGCGGCGGGGGAACGAGCGACTGACATGTGTTGCCGTAACGTTATTATTGCCGCTGGTTCTTAGAATGCAAACTGCCATCAATCTCTCTTAATAAAACGAATAAGAAAAAAAATGGTCCTTTTCTTTGATACCATTTTATGTAGTAGCCGGGGGACCCAGAACGCAAAAATAATTTTGAAAAACTAATCAATGTGACGTGCAATCTCACAAAATTAAAACCTGAATGAATAATGCAAAAGAGGAAGAATAAAACGGATTTATATGAATAATTTTTGTTTACAGGAATCAACTTACTACAAGGCTCAAGAGCTACTCAGGGTAGAAGGTTGCAGTTAAAATGGTAACGATGAAGTGTCTTATATGACTGGAAGAGAGGTAATAGAATGTGAGGATCATGAAGAAAAGGAGAATAAATTATGATTGACGTTTGACTTCAAAATTGAAGTGTTCAGAAAAGCACTTAGTGTTTGTTAGGAAGTTTATGAATAAAAAAAACTGGCTGAGCGAAACGTTCGTTTTATATTGTGGAATAAAATGTGGAAGTGTCCGGGCGTATCCTAGCTTCAGAAGGCTGAAATTTTTGGTACAATTTAACGAAAGTCTATCGTCAGGTTGGCTACATTCTCTCATCCAAAAGACTGCGTATACAATTCTGAAAGAAGTAACCCCTAGAAAGTGAGAAATTAGCAGCTCCAATCCTGACATAGATTGGCGACTGAAGTCTCTTCCGATCTTGCGCAAACTATCCAATGGGGGTAAAAACTAAATGCCTGGAAGACTAATCTAGTTATATCCCATCACTACCTATCTGACCCAAAACATGACATCAATTGACATCAAAGCTCCTCTCGGGGAAGTGCCATGTCTCTTTGCCTTGAAAAGGTGTCGAGTCTCAGATTCACACCCGACCGCAAGTGTAACTCGTACATACGATCCATTGTTAAGGATGCACGTAAAAATGGTTGGCTCCCTGAACTGCTCAAGTAAGTACATGGCTCTCCATGCTATCCTCTATCTTTGCAAGATACAGACCAGGCCAAAAATGGAGTACTGTTGCTCAGACCATACTCTCCCCCATTGATAGAGTTAAAAAGAGTCTTAGAGCCCTTGTAGGTGATGAACTATTTTCTACCCTTCAACCTCTCTCCCACAGGAAGGATGTGGCATGCCTCTCTCTGCTCTACCGCTACTTTCACGGAAAGTGCTCGGACGAGCTACATTCCCTGGTCCCGCCGAGGCAAACCTTCACAGTAAGAACACACCATGCCACTTAGTAGCAAACCAGTCACATTCTCACTGTATTCTATCGTTGAAAGGTTTCACTCGAACAGCTTCATTTAGCGAACCACTGCCCCGTGTAACCGAATCCCAACAGGATGTTTCCCCGATCATTGCAATCTTAACCAGTTCAAGGTTCGGGAAAACCGTTGTCTTCCACAGCTATACACACAGATCGCCTCTAAACGTAACCCTCTATCTCGTCTGGCCCCGGGACTTGTAATAGGTGAACCTTGATTACCCCACCCCCCAAAAAAAAAACAAAACAAAAAAAAACAACCAAACAAACTGATCTATCTGTTGCAAAATTAAAACATGGTAGAAGAAAGAATATCCTTACCGGAGAGAGCCAGCCATTTTCCGTTAGTTATCAGGTCATCCCATAAGTTCTGTCCGAATTTTAACTTTTTGTTAAAATGAACGAAATTTAAAGAGTATTTTATAATGTCTAATGGAGCTGAACATTATTTTTATGTTTAGATGCATTTAAACTGATCAAATTTTATTTCAGAGAACAATAAAATTAAATTTTGCTTGATAAAAACCCTGCTAACATGGAAGTACCCAAGAATCATTTGAGGCACATAATGCTTTATGAGTTCAAGAAAGGAAACTCAGCAGCCGAAGCGGCTAGAAACATTCACTCAGTTTATTGAGAGGAATGTGTGAATGAAAGAACTTGCAGAAGATGGTTTGCAAAATTCAGAGGTGGAGATTTCACCCTTGAAGATGAAGATCGAAACGGACGTCCAGTTGAGTTCGATGAAAAGCTTCTTGAAGCAGCCCTTGAAGAAAATCTTGCTTTGTCAGTTGAGGAATTGGCAGTGGTTCTCAATTCAAACCATACAACTGTTCATCATCATCATGTTCCTAAACTTGGAAAATATGTGGCTCATGAATTGTCTGAAAACAACCTCAAATCCAGAGTTGACATCTGCTCTTCTCTCCATTCTCACCAACTTGTTTCACTTTTTTGGATAGACTTGTGACTGGCGACGAAAAATGGATCTTTTATCGAAATGTCAAGCGTTGTAGACAGTGGCTTGGTAAAGGGGAAGTACCCCAGCTACAGCCGAGAAGGGAACTTCATGGGCAATATCTTCTTCTTTCAATCTGGTGGGATCGCCAAGGAATAATCCACTTTGAATTCTTACCACCTAATGCAACAATTAATGCTCAAATATACTGTCAGCAATTAGAGCGTTTGAACCAAGCTTTGAGGAAAAAAAGACCTGCTCTAGTGAATCGAAAAGAGGTGATGTTTTATCAGGACAATGCGCAACCCCACACAGCAAGAATCACGTCACAAAACATCGAAGAACTTGGTTGGGAGAAAATTCCACATCCACCTAATTCTCCCGATCTTGCTCCTTCAGACTACCATTTGCTTCGTAGCTTACAGAATCATTTGGAAGAAACAGCTGTTGTAACACAGGAAGAGGTTAAAACTGACTTTTGTGAGTTCTTCGAATCAAAGCCAAAAGAATTTTACAGTAATGGAATTAGTAAGCTTGTTAATGGATGGAAGGAAGTCATAGATAATCAGGGAAAATACATTGTTGATTGAATCTGTAATTAAATGGTCACTTGTTTTCTTTATTCAAAATTCGGACAGAACTTATGGGATGACATGATAGTAAGCTTGTTAATAAATGGAAGGAAGTCATAGATAAGCAGGGAAAATACATTGTTGATTGAACCTGTAATTAACTGTAACATTTGGTCACTTGTTTTCTTTATTCAAAATTCCGACAGAACTTATGGGATGACCTGATAGTAAGTTTGTTAATAGATGGAAGGAAGTCATAGATAATCAGGGAAAATACATTGTTGATTGAATCTGTAATTAAATGTAACATTTGGTCACTTGTTTTCTTTATTCAAAATTCCGACAGAACTTATGGGATGACCTGATAGTAAGTTTGTTAATAGATGGAAGGAAGTCATAGATAATCAGGGAAAATACATTGTTGATTGAATCTGTAATTAACTGTAACATTTGGTCACTTGTTTTCTTTATTCAAAATTCCGACAGAACTTATGGGATGACCTGATAGATCCAGTGACAGGACCCAAAAGAGTGTGAGTTCAATACCTGGTTAAGGCGGTGGGGAACTTGGAGAAGGGAATTAGCAGGAGATAACTGATAAATGACATCCATTAGATATGGTACGTGGAACTAGAACAGTCTACCCTAGTGAGCGAAATAAAGGGTTCAGTTCGACATTCCAATCACGTGAAGAAGGCCGGAGCATACAACGGCCGAACCGTTGGGATAAATACGGCAACAAAGATGAGGACAATAGTACGAATAATATAAATAGTGTACATAATATCTCATCTCAGAAATATAGACAGATACAGGATGAGGTTATTATGCTTTTATTTTCTACTAGCATGTTTCGGGTGAAGTCTTCTAACTTTGTGTGTGTTTAAATGGATTCTTATATA